TGTTTTTTTTTTTTTTTAAGACTTCGATCCTAATTTTGGGTTGATTTCAAGAAACTTTCTGAAAAAATTTATACTTCAAAGTTTTTATTCCGTAAAAAATTTATAGAATGCCATTTCAATAATGAAAAAAGTAATACCTTTGAAAAATTTCCAAAGTTTTTTCCACCTTGGGGTTGTATGACAGTGCAAAAATGTGGTAACGCAGGAATGTTACAAAAATTCCTGTTACAGAATCTTCACATGTTATTAGATGAATGCCATTGAAAGTGACGAAAAATTTGGCTCTTTCGTCATGTAGAGAATAATCTATACGACCATAAGACATCGAACCAAATAGGGATATGTTCATTCTACAAGAGTCACATCAGTTTCACTTACGTCCTGCAAAGAGCCAAAAGCAGTTATAAAATAGTTATTTACGTAACAAGTGCGGAAAAGACGATTTCCCGCATGAGTCTATCACACGTGTGAGGTAAATCGTCCCGCACGAATTGCGTACAAGTTTTTTCGCAATAAGTGTGCGGAAAATAGGTGTTTTCCACACTGATGTTAGTGTGGAAATAGTAGTTTTCCGACGAGTTTGAAAAGTCTTTGTTTGCGAACCGAGAGGTTTGCGGCCCGAGCCGAAGGCGAGGTCCGTAACGAGGTTCGTAAAGGAGACTTTTTAAACGAGTATCGGAAAACTTCTTTTTTGCCCGAGGAAGTACCAGCCTCCCAAAACCACCCGACGGCGGAAAATCAATTTTCCGCACACTATTGCGAAAAGAATTATGTGAAGTAATGAAATAATGAGTATAAAAATGTTGATTTCAATTTTTATATTATAAAATGAGTGTATAGTTGTACTTGCTGTATGCTTTTTTAAAACCATTTATACTTGTTTAAGTCAATGTAGATTTCATTATTTATGCTATTAAGAATTAAATCATGCTTTTCATTAGTTCGTTATATTTGACTATTATCCCACAGACAACGGTGATCAAATTTTTTTTCACGTACCAGTAATTTTAACATTTTATAAACACTTTTTGTATATGATTAGAAAAGAGAGTATGAAACTTTTATGCAGTTCATAAAAGTAAATTATATAAATAAAACGAAAACGTTTGCAGAGTGTGTGGCAGTTTTGAACAAAAATTTTATAGATTTAGCCATGAGACCTGATATAAGTGTGGTTACCGCATAGATTTGTGTGCCGTGTATTGCATAAAAAAAAAAAAAAACTGGAAAATGTAAAGTGCCTAAGCTTTCATCACAGGCATTGAATATAGAAACACAGCTGGTGATACCGGTGATAACAAGACCCAAGAGGTCTTTGTGGCTAACCTGACTGCAAGCGTACCAGTGATAAAATGGCGTAGTCAAAGTTATACTGTCCAGGAGAAACCTTTTAAGTATCAAGAAATCTTTCATTTTCGTTTGGACAGGCCGAATTTTTGAAGTTTCTGGAATAAAAGATCGCTATTAAAAATGTAGTATAAAAAATAATTAAATTAAAATGACTATATTTATAGCATAGCAATTTATTTTCAAATAATAAAGTTCATTATTCACCATACTGCGCCAAAAGTTGGAACTTTTGTCCCGCTTCGCGGGACCAAAAACCCTTCTCTTGGTGCAGGATTGGTGAAACATAGAATAAATACGCACCACGTTTGGAAGTTGAGAAATGCATTAGATTCCACGTTAACCACCCTCAGCCTCACCTCGGGAGTTTATTTACGTAAAATGCAAGACATTCTTAACCGTGCTCACTAGGTGCGTAATGTACTATTTTTGGGATGGTCTGATAGTTTTGCTGTGCTTCCTAGTAGTGTAATACACTTTTTTCAATTCAAAGAGGTACGATAAATGTAAAGAATCAGAAGTTATCTACTAAGTTTTTCTGACTTAATGTATCCTTCAGTAAATTTTCTATAAAATCATAATTGTCAAAAATAGACAAAATAATTAAAATACCTGTTTTTTAAAAAGATCTTTTTCTTCTTCGTCAAAGTGAACAATTAGCATTTTAAATGCAAAAAAACTTCTGGATTTTAACTTCTAGATACTTCCATTTGATCTTGATAATCAACTATTGATTTATGAAAAATACTTGTTTTTTTAATATATCTTTTAATTTAAAGATTCTTTCCGGAATGCATCGACATCTTTTCCTAAAAGATGGC